AAAAACAACAAAAAACCAACCTTGGAGTGCAGGAATTTCTCCTGGGATGGAGCTCACACCCTCGGGAGCTGCCATGGGGCTCAGTTTGGGATTTTTGGGTGTCTTGGCCGTGTTTTTCTCCGTTGAGGAAGGAAAACATCTGACACGATGTCCTGGGGGGCTGAGAAAGGAGAAGCTGATGTTGCAGCCCCAACGTGGCACAATCCTGGCTTCTCCCCTGTTTGGGTTTCCCACACCAGTCCAAGGTGGGTCATTCCTGCTGGGAAGAGCGTGGCAGCTCCTGGGGGACTGGGAGGGAAGGAGGGGACGTTTTCCTGGATTTTGGTGTCACTCCGTGCCGTTCCCACTCCTCCAGGAGCAGGAGGAGCCCCCTCCCACGTGGAGGGGCTGCGCTTTGTCCTTGTCACCCCCAACTCATCCTGGTGAGCCGAAACCTTTGGGTTTTCCTCCTTCCCAGGGGGAATTCCACCGGGATTTTTCCCAGCAGAAAACCAGGGGTGCTTGTGGTGGCCCTGGGGGACACGTGGTGGCCCTGGGGAGCACATGGTGGCCGTGGGGGACACGTGGTGGCCGTGGCGGGCATGTGGTGGCCCTGGGGGACACGTGGTGGCCGTGGGGGACACGTGGTGGCCCCGGGGACACATGGTGGCCCTGGGGGATGCGTTGTGGCCCTGAGGGGCGTGTGGTGGCCCCAGGAGTGCGTGGTGGCCCTGGAGGACGCGTGGTGGCCCTGAGGGGCGTGTGGTGGCCCTGGGAAACATGTGATGGCCTCAGGGAGGGCGTGGTGGCCCCGGGGACATATGGTGGCCCTGGAGAGCGCGTGGTGGCCCTGGAGGGTGCGTGGTGGCCCTGGGGGATGCGTGGTAGCCCTGGGAAATGTGTGACGGCCTCAGGGAGGGCGTGGTGGCCCCGGGGACACGTGGTGGCCCTGGAGGGCGCGTGGTGGCCCTGGAGGGTGCGTGGTGGCCCCAGGAGCGCGTGGTGGCCCTGGAGGGTGCGTGGTGGCCCCAGGAGCGCGTGGTGGCCCTGGGGAGCGTGTGGTGGCCCTGGGGAGCACGTGGTGGCCCTGGAGGGTGTGTGGTGGCCCTGGAGGGTGTGTGGTGGCCCTGGGAAGCGCGTGGTGGCCCTGGGGACATATGGTGGCCCTGGAGGGCACGTGGTGGCCCTGGGGAGCGCGTGGTGGCCCTGGGGGATGCGTGGTGGCTCCAGGAGTGTGTGGTGGCCCCAGGAGCGCGTGGTGGCCCCAGGAGCGCGTGGTGGCCTTGGGGAGCGCGTGGTGGCCCCAGGAGCGCGTGGTGGCCCCGGGGAGCGCGTGGTGGCCCTGGGGGTGCGTGGTGGCCCCAGGGAGCGCGTGGTGGCCCCAGGAGCGCGTGGTGGCCCTGGGGAGCGCGTGGTGGCCCTGGGGAGCACGTGGTGGCCCCAGGAGCGCGTGGTGGCCCTGGGGGATGCGTGGTGGCCCTGGGGGATGTGTGGTGGCCCTGGGGAACACATGGTGGCCGTGGGGGATGCGTGGTGGCCCCAGGGAGCGCGTGGTGGCCCCAGGAGCGCGTGGTGGCCACGTTCTGCTGCTCGTGCCCCGTCCCTGCTCCCAGCCAGGCACGGCCGTGGGATGTTCCTGGCAGGGAACGCTGCCGGAGGAACGCGGGAATGAACGCGGAGGGGGCGGGAGCTGCGCCCACGGCAGGAGCAGAACGTCCCTGCTCCGCTCCCTGCTCTGCCCACGCTCCCGCTCCGTGCCTGGGACGATCCCGCCGCGGCAGATTTGGAGTTTTGCCATCGGAATGGAGTTGGTGAAGGCAGAGGGAAGAGCGGCAGCTGGAGGAGGGGAAAGCTTTTCCTTTTGGGATGCTTTCCCTCGCGGAGAGTCAAAAATCCACCCCAGGCTCCGGCGGGTTGGGCCTCGTGGGATTCTGTGTGCCGTGATCTCCTCGTGGGATTGCTCCGTGCTCGCGAGGGAACATCGAGTCCGAGCCTTGTTTGTTCCTGTCTCAGCACTCGGGGCACCGGGAACTGGGAATGGGAACTGGGAACTGGGAATGGGGGAATGGGAATGGGAACTGGGAATGGGAACTGGGAATGGGATACTGGGAATGGAAAACTGGAAATGGAAATGGGGATGGGAGCTGGGAATAGGAACTGGGAATGGGAACTGGGAATGGGAACTGGGAATGGGATACTGGGAATGGAAAACTGGAAACGGGAATGGGGATGGGAACTGGGAATAGGAACTGGGAATGGGATAATGGGAATGGAAAACTGGAAACGGGAATGGGGATGGGAACTGGGAATAGGAACTGGGAATGGGAAACTGGGAATGGAAAACTGGAAATGGGAATGGGGATGGGAGCTGGGAATAGGAACTGGGAATGAGATAATGGGAATGGGAAACTGGGAACTGGGAATGGGATGCTGGGAATGGAAAACTGGGAACTGGGAATAGGAACTGGGAATGGGATACTGGGAATGGAAAACTGGAAACAGGAATGGGGATAGGAACTGGGAATAGGAACTGGGAATGAGATGCTGGGAATGGGAATGGGAACTGGGAATGGGAAACTGGGAATGGAAAACTGGGAACTGGGAATGGGATGCTGGGAATGGGAATGGGAACTGGGAATAGGAACTGGGAATAGGAACTGGGAATAGGAAACTGGGAATGGAAAACTGGGAATGGGAAACTGGGAATGGAAAACTGGGAATGGGATGCTGGGAATGGAAAACTGGGAACTGGGAATAGGAACTGGGAATGGGAAACTGGGAATGGAAAACTGGGAACGGGAATGGGGATGGGAACTGGAAATAAGAACTGGGAATGGGATGCTAGGAATAGAAAACGGAACTGGGAATGGAAAAGTGGGAATGGAAAACTGAGAATGGAAAACCGGGTATGGGGATACGAATGGGGATGGGCACTGGGAATAAGAATGGGAATGGGAACTTGGAATGGGAAATTGGGAATGAGAAACTGGGAATGGGGATGGGAACTGGTAACTGGGAATGGAAAACTGGGAATAGGAACTGGGAATGAGAAACTGCGAATGGGAAGTGGGAATAGGGATAGGATCTGGGAATGGGGGAGTTTATTCCCCAAACCACCACAGGCTCAGGGCATCCCACATTCCCAGAGGTCTCCATCCCGGAATCGCAGCCTCCTCTGAGGAGGATTTCACCCTTCGTCCTTCACGGGGGGAAAGGTTGAACTTTTCCCCATCCCAGCTCAGCAGGATCCAGCCAATTCCCTTCCGGGTGGTTTGGAGTTGGCGAAGTCACGGCAACAGCTCCGATGGCACCGAAGTTGTGGCAGCGCCGGCTGAATTGGCCACAGCACAGAGTCCTGCTGGCCATGGTTTTGGGGTTTTGGAACCCCAAGTGTGGGTTTGTAGACCCCAAAGTTGGAATTTGTAGACCCACGGATCTGGTTTGTAGACTCCCAAGTTTGGGGATTTGTGGATCCCAAGGTTTGGGGTTGTGGAACTTCAGGGTTATGGAATTCCAGGTTGGTGGAACCCCAGATTTGGGTTGGTGGAACCCCAAGTTTGGAGTTGTGGAGCTCCAGATTTGGGTTGGTGGAACCCAGATTTGGGTTTGTGGACCTCCAGATTTGGGTTGGTAGAACTGCAGATTTGAGGTTATGGAACACCAAGTTTGGGTTTTTGGGCCCCCGGATTTGGGGTTATGCAACCCCAGAATTGGGGTTGTGGACCTCAAGGCTTGGATTTGTGAACCCTCAGGTCTGGGTTTGTGGACCCTTGGGACTGGATTCCTCAGATTTGGATTTGTGGGCCCCAGATTTGGGGTTGAGGACTCCCAGGTTTGGTTTTCTGGAGCCCCAGGTTTGGGGTTGGGTTTGTGGAGGGAACAGCTTCATCCCAACAGTCTTTTCCTTCAGGTTTGGGTTTGTTCCGCTGTGGCTGAGCTGGTTCTTCATTCCCGGTGCCACCAGGGAGAAGCCCAGGTGGGTTTGTTGTGCTCTGTGCATCGTGGAATTCCGTGTTTTGCCAAGAAATAATCCTACAAAAACCCCAGCCGTGCTGTGGGGTGCTTTGTGGTGAAGACTGAAGGTCAGAGCCAGCCCCGTGAAATTCCTCGTGAACCTCTTGTCCTCTTCCAGTCTCCTCATCTTTTGGCGTGTCGGGATTTCGTTCCTTCTCTCTCGGGAACTGATCCTTCAGGACAGTCATTGGATTTAGGAATATTTGATGAAGAAACCAAGAGTTTCTAGTGGTGTCTCCCCTGAGTAATTTCAGCAAATTTCAATAGGCACCTTCAAAAAAAGCTTCCGTAATTCCCGGGTTTGCTACAAGAACTGGATCCCTCGGAGGGAACCAAAATGCTGCTTGGAAAAACAAACAAAACAAACGAAAAAAAAAAACCCCAAAAACGCTCATCCCGCTGAGGAACTCTTTTGTCTGCCCCAAGAATTCCAGGGCTGCTCTCGAGATGTCCCCTTGGAGAGAACCAGGGTTGGATTCTGCTCCTGCTTGGAATTCAAGTATCCAGGAGGGCATCCAAGCTCTCCAGAAGGGTGTCCCAACCCCAAGGAGGATGTCCCAGACCTCGAGGGGAGCGTGCTGGAGCCTGGAAAGGGAATTCCAGAGCTTGGGAAGGGAATTCCAGAGCCCAAGAAGGGAATCCCACACCTTGAGGAGGACAGCCTGGTCTGGAGGAGGAGGAGGAGGAGATCCCAGCTCCAAGGAGGACATCTCCAGGAGGGGATCCAAGATCTTGGGAAGGTCATCCCAGTGCTCAGGGAGGGTATCCCAGCTCCTGAGGAGGGAATCCCAACCTCTGAGGAGGGAATCCCGGCCTTTAAGGACGGCATCCTACTCCAAGGAGGATATTCCAGACCCCAAGAAGGGTATCCCAACCCCTGAGGAGGAAATCCCAACCTTAAGAAGAGCATTCCAGACCTCGAGGAGAGCATCCCAACCCCGAGCAGGGCTTCCTAGACCCCAGGGAGGGACAGCCAGACCTCAAGGAGGACATCTGAGATCCGAGGAGAGCGTTCCAGACCTCAAAGAGGACATCTCAATTGCAAGGAGGACATCCCAGCTCCAAGGAGAGCATTCCAGACCTCAAAGAGGACATCTGAGCTCCAAGGAGAGCGTTCCAGACCTCAAGGAGGACGTCCCAGCTCCCAGGAGAGCATTCCAGACCTCAAGGAGAGCATCCTGGCCCTCCAGCTGGGAAGGAAGGGGCTGGGAGGCAGCCGGTCCACCAGGATCCCGGTATTCCCGCTCCGTTGGGTCGCTTCTCCCACCTCCCACGAGGCATTCCCAAAGTTTTTCTGTCCTTCGGGTCTGGTTTTGGCCGGACACGCGCGTGGTCAGAGGTGGGACACGAGGAGAAGCCCGGCGGACGCCGAGGGGAGGCAGAGCCCCTTCCCCTGTCCCCTCTTGCTTTGGCAATGGTCACAGGCTACATGCTCCTGGGAAAACCCAAAAAAAAACCAAAAAAAAACCACAAAATTGGGGGAAAAACAACAAAAAAAAAGGCAGGGAAATGGCCACCAAAAGTGCTGGGAAAGCGACCAAAGGGGATGAGACTGGCAGATGTTCCCGGTCCATCCGGAGTTCTCCTGGGTATTGCAGTGAGTGTGTTGTTAGCACGTGGCAAAGCTACATAAGAGAAGATGCTACATTCCTTGGAAAACAAAAATAGTGCTGAGCTGGATTTGTTCTGAGTCCGGTGGGGTTTTCCCCTTGGAAAGCCGCCTTTTCCTGGGAGGCAGGGAAAGGGGATGGGAGGAAAAATGAACCTCGTCCTCACTGCTCCCAGCCGGGTCGGGAGAGAGCCGGGAGCTTCCAGGACGAGGTCTGGGAACAGTCTGGGATCGTTGGCAGTCGCAGCCCTCGGAGGGAATTTTCTCCTCTCCTTCCCCCCTGCCTCACACCCGCTCCTCGCTCCCTCTCCCTTCCCAGGGAGGGCGTCCAGGGCAGATTTTTTTTTTGTGGGGGAAGGAGATTGAAAATTTTAAAAAAAAAAAAAAATGGAAGGAAAAAAAAAACCAAAAAGGATATTTGATATTTACAGCTCTCCACGACCAGTTCTGCAAGGTCTCCTTGGATGTCTCCTTCCCAATCCCAGCCTCTACGGGCAGGAGGGGCTGGTGGAGCTCTCCAGGGAGGACTGGGAGAGGCGGCGGGTCAGGGGTCCGATGCTGGAGTCGGCCAGGGAGGAGGTGGGGAAGAGTTTGTACCAGCCCGAGACGGCGCTGGAGAGATCCAGCTCCTCCAGGATGATCTGGGCCATCCCCATGAAGCACTTGTGGTCCATGCGCCCGTAATCGCCCCAGACGATCACCTGCGGGCATGGAAGGGGTGATGGAGCCGGGAGTCCTGGGGAAGTCGTGCCCAGGTGGAAAAACCTGCTGTGGTCAGGGTCGGGGAGGTCTGAGGGATGCAGGAAGGGCTCTGGGGATCCCTGGGCTGTGAGGGTGGGAGGTCCTGGCACAGGGCATTCCAGATCCCAGAGAGGGTATCCCAGCCCTGAGGAGAGCATCCCAAACCTGAGGAAACCATCCCAGCCCCGAGGAGAGCATCCCAAACTTGAGGAAACCATCCCAAACCTGAGGAGAACATCCCAAACCTGAGGAAACCATCCCAGCCCCGAGGAGAGCATCCCAAACCTGAGGAAACCATCCCAACCTCGAGGAGAGCATCCCAAACTTGAGGAAACCATCCCAACCCTGAGGAGAGCATCCCAAACTTGAGGAAACCATCTCAACCCTGAGGAGAGCACCCCAAACTTGAGGAAACCATCCCAGCCCCGAGGAGAGCATCCCAAACCTGAGGAAACCATCCCAACCTCGAGGAGAGCACCCCAAACTTGAGGAAACCATCCCAACCTCGAGGAGAGCATCCCAAACCTGAGGAAACCATCTCAACCCCGAGGAGAGCATCCCAACTCCAAGCAGGGCATTCCAGAGCTCAAGGAGAACACCCCAGACCTCAGGGAGAACATCCCAGACCTTGAGGAGAACCTCCCAGGCCTCAAGGAGAATATTCCAACCCTAAGCAAGGCATTCCAGACCTCAGGGAGAGCATCCCAGACCTCAAGGAGAACATCCCAGACCTTGAGGAGAACCTCCTAGACCTCAAGGAGAACATCCCAGACCTTGAGGAGAGCATTCCAGACCTCGAGGAGAACATCCTAACCGCAAGGAGAGCAGCCCAATCCTAAGCAAGGCATCCCAGACCTTGAGCAGACATCCCAACCCAAGGCAGGGCACCCAGACCCCAAGGAGGACACCCAGACCCCAAGGAGGACATCCCAGCTCCAAGGAGGACATCTCAGCCCACAGAAGCCGTGGCTGTCCCAGCCCTGGCAGTGTCCAAGGAAAGGCTGGATGGGGCTTGGAGCCACCTGGGATAGGGGAAGGTGTCCCTGCCCACCTGCAGGACTTTGCCCTGGGGACTCTCCTCGAAGAGCAGGGGCTGCTGGTACGAGGGGTCGCAGGTCTTCTTCACCACCTTGGTCTTCTTCTTGGCCAGGCAGACGCCGTTCTCCAGCAGGTAAACCTTCACGTAGGTGGCTGTCGCGGGAAATGGGGACAAGCAGGGCCATGGAACGGGGTCCTGGGATGGTCCCGGCATCCCAAGCCCTCCCTCCACAGCCACCTACCAGGGATGCACTTGGAGCCCATCTTTGGGATGAGTCCCCTGGCCTGGATCACGTCCACCTCCAGCTGCCCGTTGCGGTCAGCCATGCCAACGTGGACATCGCCTGCGAGGGAGGGACACGCCTGATGGTCACCTCCCCCTGGGGACAGCCACGGCCCCGTGGCCTCATCTCCATCCTCACACCCACGTCCCACGGGATGCCGGATTTGTTGGGAATTAGGGGCTCAGAGGATGGGAAGGGGCTTGGATTGAGCAGTGAGGAGAGGTCGGGGTGGGAGCCCCCCCTGAGGAGAGGTCCGGGTGGGAACCCCCCTCCCCATCAGCTCCATCCCTGTCACTGGGATTTTATCCCTTGTGATGGGAGTAAGGCTGGGGTTTAGCCAGGCTGGGCTTGGCCGGGTGAAAAGGAGAGGCTGGGACAGGAGGGATCAGGGGCCAGGAACTCTGAGGGGTCCAACCACGCCTTTCCCTTTTCCCCTTTCCCCTTCCCCTTTCCCTTTCCTCTTTTCCCCCTTCTCCTTTCCTCTTTCTCCTTTCCCCTTTCCCCTTTCCCTTTCCTCTTTCCCCTTTCCCCTTTTCCTTTCTCCTTTCCCCCTTCCCCTTTCCCCTTTCCCCATTCCCCTCTCCCCTCTCCCCTTTCCCCCTTCCCCTTTCCCTTTTCCCTTTTCCCTTTCCCCTTCCCCATTTCCCGAACATCCCTTCCCTCCTGCTGGGATTTACTCAGGCCCAGCTCCCGGTGCCACAGGGACATGGGACACAGGACAGGGACCCGGGGCAGCTCTTCCCATTCCCAGCAGGATCAGGAGGCCACCTTGGGCTGTGTCCCCAGCTGCTGCTGGCTGGGAATTCCGACTTAGGGTGCGACTTTTGCTCCCCATTTGGGATTTCAAAGGGAAAAGAGGGACGGAAGGTGGGGGTGTGATTCCAGGATGCTCGAAAAGGAAGCCCCGGGAAGAGGCAGAGCTGCGGGTTCTGGGGGATGCCCCTGAGCCCCTCTCCCCTGCTGCTGGCAGAGCATTCCCGGAGCGGGATGTGCTGGGATGGAGCCCCGGGAAGAAACACGCGGCCTCTTCCCCCAATTCCCTCCCTGCGGAGCCTCCCTGGGCGCTGCCCCACTCACCCATCGGGGGGGTTGCCAGGGTCTGCCGCCCCACCAGCTGCCCCGGCCCCAGCCCGTCGAGGAAATCGCTGAACTGGCTCTCCGCTCCCAGCCGCGTGGTGGGGAAGATGAACCTGCAAAGGATTTTTATGGAGCATCCCTCTGCCCATCCCGCGGGAGGGATCCCGGTGCCTCTCCCCACTCCTGCCCCGTTCCTTACGTGCCGTCCGAGCTGTTGCTGTTGGTGCTGCCGTCCGTGGACTCCCGGCTGCCCTGCCGGGTCACCCTGGTCCTCATCTCCACGGCGATGCCGGTCTCGGTGCTCCTGCGGATGGTGCTGCGCAGCTTTTTGGGGCCCCCCTCTGGAATTGGAGACGGGGTCAGCTCCAGCTCCTGCCCCCAGCCCCGTCCCTTCCCGGTTTCCATCGCTCCAGGGAGTTGGGCACCGTTCCCCGGGTGAATTCCCGCACGGACACACCCCGGTGCGGCCGGAGAGGAGAGCCACGGGCTGGCTCCGTGTCCCCGTGTCCCCATCTGCCACAGCCTCGCTCTGTCCCAGTGTCACCGCGGCTTTGGATGGCTCAGAGCCCCCTCTGCAACGGAGACCTGCCCCGCTCACCCCACAAGCGTCCCTTGGCCTCCAAAGTTTTGGGTGTAGTTTTTTGGGTGTCATTTTTAGGTGCCATTTTTGAGGGTGTTGTTTTTTTGTGTGTAGTTTTTTGGGTGTCATTTTTTAGGTGTAGTTTTTTGGGTGTCATATTTAAGTGTTATTTTTTGTGTGTAGTTTTTTGGGTGTCATTTTTTAGATGTCATTTTTAGGCACCATTTTTCAGGTGTCATTTTTGGGTGTAGTTTTTTTGGGTATCAATTTTTAGCTGTAGTTTTTTGGGTGTAATTTTTAGGTGCCATTTCTCAGGTGCCATTTTTAGATGCCTCCATCACGCATGGGCAACCAAAACATGACTGGTGGCCACCTCCAAACCCAAGAGGGGGCTCAGGGTGGCCTCTCACCGGTCTGGTTGAGCTGCAGGGTGCTCTTGCTCCACTGGGACAGCCCCACAATCGCCACCATCTTGGCGCCCAGGCTGGAGCGTCGCTTCTTGCTGGCGGTGACGGTGACGGAGACGGAGTCGGCGCTGCCGCGCGCGCTCTTCTCCAGGTTGTACATCTCACCGCTGATGCTGGAGCTGCGCACCACATTCCTGGCAGACGAGGAGCTGGCATCCCCGTTGAACATGGTCAGCGCGCCCGCCGGCACCGGCACCGGCCCTGCTGCCCGGGATCAGCTGCGGGGACAAATTTGGGGACGCTGAGGGGTCGTGGCATCGCTGGCTGGAAATCGGGGAAGGGTTTTTCCCGCTGGGAACTCCCCCAGGCTCCCTCAGGAGCATTCCTGAGGCTGCCAGAGCTCCAGGAGTGCTGGGACACGGCTCCCAGGGATGCCCAGCTTGGGATTTGGGGGTGTCTGTGCAGGGCCAAGGGTTGGACTGGATGATCCTTGTGGGTTCCTTTAATCTTGGTATATTCCAATATTTTTCCCCACCCGTGGGAGCAGCAGGAAGGGGTCAGGACTCCTGGGGTGAACATCCAGCCCTACCTCAGCTCCCTGCAGGACCAGGACACTCCCAACATCCAGGAGACACCTGGATGGGCAGAAGGTTCTGAGTGCCACCATTGCCCAGCCAGGGCTGAGAGGTCCCTCGGGTACAGCCCCATCCACCCCTGAGGACATCCAAAATCACATCCAGCCGAGTTTTCCCTGCACATCCCCTTCCCCAAACCTGCTGCAGGTGATCCCACCCCGGGGTGGGAATCCCTGGAGCACCGGGGGCGGATGCCAGAGCTCCACACGGCCCCGCCGCCTTCCCTTGCCCATGAATATTTAAAATCCAGCGGGATGGAGCATCCATCTTCCAGGGAAAGGTGAATTATTAACTGCAGGCCAAGCGGAGCCACTTTGTGATAATGGATGGAGGCAGCGCCTGGAAAAATGTTTCCCTTTCAGGAGAGAGGGATGGACACGAGGATGGGGAGCAGGGCAGGCTCCACACAGGGCACAGCTGGGATGAGAACTGATGGGAATCGTGGATGAGTCCTGGCAGGAGCTGTGGGATCAGCTCCAGCACCGCTGAACTCCTGGATTTATCAGCTGCAGGGGTGAGTGGGTGATTAGTCATTAATAGCATTAATGAGTTCCCTCCTGGCTGGGGTTTTCCCTCCTGGCTCTGCCCAGGCATTGACCCACGGCCTTCCCCCCACTCCTTGTGCCTGGGGGGGCTCAGCACTGGCCCCCAGCTCCAGAGGGATGGATCCTCTGGGATAAAGGTGTTGGTGTGGGATGAGCCCCAATCCAGAGGGATGGAGCCGTTGGATAAAGCCATCAAGGTGGGATGAGCCCAAATCCAGAGGGATGGATTCTCTGGGATAAAGCCATCAGGGTGGGATGTGTCCCAGCTCCAGAGGGATGGAGCCCTTGGATAAAGCCATCAGGGTGGGATGTGTCCCAGCTCCAGAGGGATGGAGCCATTGGATAAAGCCATCAGTGTAGGATAAACCCCAATCCAGAGGAATGGAGCCACTGGATAAAGGTGTTGGTGTGGGATAAACCCCAATCCAGAGGGGTGGATCCCTTGGATAAAGCCATCAGGGTGGGATGTGTCCCAGCTCCAGAGGGATGGATTCTCTGGGATAAAGCCATCAGGGTGGGATGAGCCCCAGTCCAGAGGGATGGATTCTCTGGGATAAAGCCATCAGGGTGGGATGTGTCCCAGCTCCAGAGGGATGGAGCCACTGGCACCAGGTGCAATCCCAGCTCCGGATCTGCCCCATCACAGCCCCGTGCCGATGTCCAGCACCTCCTCGAGGAGGTGCCAGAGCTGATCCGCTGCCTTGGGGACCTTTGGGGTGACACTTTCCAATGCCACCCGCCACTCTCAGGCTCCAAACCTGCTGCCATCCCTGAGTATTCCCTTAGGATGCGCCTGGCACAGGGAATGGATCCCAAAGCTGCAATGTCCCGCTGCACCCCGTGCCTCAGTTTCCCCACTGGCAAACCTGGCTTAGGCTGTGCCTGAACAAACACAAATCCCTCTGCACAGGGCTCAGCCAGGCCCAGCCCAGGCCCCTCCACGTTCCAGGGGAGAAATCCCTGAACACCCCACGCCTGTAGGGCCAGGAGAGCACAAAGGGCTCCTGGTGCTGCTCCAGCCTCGCCCTGGTGGGAGCAAATTAGATCAGGAGAGCAGAGCGCTAATGGGATCATTTCCAATGCAACACACACAGGGATAATCCGCAGCAAAGGAAGCCGAGGCACTCCCCAGCCCGAAGGGAGGATTTGCTTTCCCCTGCTGTGATTTTACACCCTATCTCTCTGCACAATCTGTTTCTGCCCGGTGCAGGGGCTGCCTGGGGGGTTTGGGGAGTGCCTGGTGCTGAGATGAGCTGGGTTTGAGTGCTGGAGACTGTGGCTGCCACAGCTAAGCCGGCCTTGGCACGGGCACAGCATCTTCAGTGTCACCACAGCATCCTTGGCAGGGTTAAAGCATCTTCAGTATCACCACAGCATCCTTAGCAGGGTTCCAGCATCCTCAGCACCACCACGGCATCCTGAGCACTACCACAGTGCCCTCAGCACGGCCACAGCATCCTTGGTGCCATCACAGCATCCTCAGCATCACCACAGCATCCTTGGTACCACCACAGTACCCTTGGTGCCACTACAGCGTCCCTGGTACAATCACAGCAGCCTTGGTGCCACCACAGCACCCTCAGCATGGCCATTGCATCCTCAGCACCACCACAGCATCTTTGCCATGGCCACGGCACCCTTGATGCCACCACAGCATCCTCAGCATGGCCACAGCATCCTCAGCATGGCCACAGCATCCTCAGCAGGGCCACAGCATCTCTGGCATGGCCATGCCACCCCTGATGCCACCACGGCACCCTTGATGCCACCACGGCACCCTTGATGCCACCACAGCATCCTCAGCATCATCACAGCATGGCCATGGCATCTTTGATGCCACCATGGCATCCCTCATGCCACCACAGCATCCTCATCATCACCACAGCATCCTCAGCAGGGCCACAGCATTTCTGGCATGGCCATGGCACCCCTGATGCCACCACGGTATGATTGATGCCACTACAGCATCCCTGATGCCACCATGGCACCTCTGATGCCACCACAGCATCCCTGATGCCACCACAGCACCCCTGATGCCACCACAGCACCCCTGATGCCACCACAGCATCCTCAGCATCACCACAGCATCCTCAGCATCACCACAGCATCCTCAGCATGGCCACGGCACCGCTGATGCCACCAAGGCACACCTGATGCCACCACAGCCCCCCTGATGCCACCACAGCACCCCTGATGCCACCACGGCCCCCCTGATGCCACCACAGCCTCCCGAGCCCGCTGCCGAGCCCCCAGCCCCGCTGCCGCCCCTGCCCCGGCTCCCCCTTCCCGGCAGCGCGGGGGGGAGTCAGGGACCCGCACCACCTTCCCCTTCCAACACCCATTTTCCCCCTTCCCCTGCATTTATTCCCGGGATCCCGAAGCTCCGGGATGCTCGGAGCGATGCTCCCGGGGCAGCCCCGCAGCGCTCACCGCCACCGCGCTCCGTCCTTGCGGGAAACAACGAGCACCGGCAGCCCCGGGACGTTCCCCGAGGGACCCGCCGAGCCCACGGACACCGCCGGGAGCCGCGTCATGGCTGGAGCATCCCCGATGGAGCAGCACAAGCGGCAGGAAAATCCCGATCCCTGCTGCCTTAGGATGGCGGGGGCCGAGTTCTGCCCCTCCCCGCTCGTGGCACCCCAAAAAAACCATATGAAAAGAGGAGATGGAGGCGTCTTACCGGCCCCGCGGCGGGGAGGAGGAGGAGGAGGAGGCTCCGCTCAGCTTCCCAGCCCCATCCCGGCCGGATCCGGAGGGTGCCAGGGCGGGTGAATCTTTCCAGGGTTCTGGAGAGCCGGGGCTGTGCTGGCGCTGCTTCAGCATCTCCCTCAGCATCTCCATGGTTACCCGGCTGACCCAGTTCTCCTCCCAGCCCCGAGCAGGGCCTCGGTGGTCCAGCGGGGTGGGATGTGCTGGGAGCATCCCTGGGCTGGGATTCGGGGAGCTGATGAGCCCCAGCCCGGATCCCTACAGGTGCCGTGGGAAGGGAAAAGCGGCAAGGATGGGAAAAGTGGGGCTGGAGGTGAGCCCAGGAGGGGATGGAGCCCGGGGGGCTGCAGGGCTGGGAAGGGACAAGGCGGGGATGGGAAGCAGCGCTGGCCCCAAATACACCACAAAAACAGGGAATGGGGGGCAAAATATTGATGGGAAAAACGGGTGCCTTGGGAAAAGCTCTGGAGAAGGAGGGAGCAGCCCCACAGGTGCTCCCACACAGGTGGGAAAGGAGGAGGAGGAGGAGGAGGAAGGTGTTAAATGAGCACGGTGGGGGTGGCTGGGAATGCTGCCTTGCCAGGGAAGGAGGCAGAGGGATTTTGGGAGCTGTTTGCTCCCTGAAAACCATCAAGGTGGGTGTTCCCAGGGAAAATCGGGGCTGGGAACCCCGGGCAGTGGGGCAGAAGGTTCTTCCTGTCCCCTGTTGAGGCTGGAGGGAGAGCACTGAAAACTGTCTGGAGCAGGGAGGTCCTAAAATCAGCTTTTTTGGGGAATAAAAAGGTTGCCAGAGCTGCCACCCCGAGGCCCTGGCTGAGCACCAACACACCAGGACAGGCTGCAGCATCCCAGCTCCCACACACCTGCTCCTCCAAGAATTTGGGAATAAGGCAAGGCTTATTTCCCCTGAAAGTATTTCATTCTAATTAATTGCTCCGGCTTTGATAGGCAGCCGCTTGTATAATTTTAATTGCCCAACAAGGGCTATAATTGGGTGCACGTGAGCTGGGAATTTGGGAGGAACTCCAGGTCCTGGAATTCAGCTTCTCCTGGCTCAGGCAGGTTAGCAAAGTTCCGTCCTGGCTGGGATTTGCTGCAGGTTAAAATTAAAGGATGGGTCGGAACGTGCTCCGTTTCTTGGAAAAGTTGGGAAGTTTGGGTGGGGCTGTGCTCAGGGATCCCACAGGAGCGGCCTCTGGAAAAAGGGCTGGCTGCTGGATAAGGGAGGAAGGTCCTGGAGCAAATCCCACGGGAGGGCTCTGCTCAGGATGGTTTTCCAAAGGGCAGTGCCGGGATGGGAGCCTGGACTGGTTTTCCATCGGGATGGGAAGAGCTGGTGGCCGTGGCATGGGTGACAGTGACCAGGGATGTCCCCAAGGGCTCAGGAGGGATGGCATTCCTCCATTCCTCCGGCCTGGAAGCAGCTGGGGCTGCTCCGGGTGCTCTCCGTGCTTCCATCTGCTCCTGCACGTGGGATCCAGACTGGGAGCACCAGTGGGATCCAGACTGGGAGCACCCATGGGATCCAAACAGGGAACATCACTGGGACCCAGACTGGGAGCACCCATGGGATCCAGACTGGGAGCACCACTGGGATCCAGACTGGGAGCACCACTGGGATCCAGACTGGGAGCACCACTGGGATCCAGACTGGGGGCACCAGTGGGATCCAGACTGGGAGCACCCATGGGACCCAGACTGGGAACATCACTGGAACCCAGACTGGGAGCACCCATGGGATCCAGACTGGGAACACCAGTGAGACCCAGACCGGGAGCACCCCTGGGATCCAGGCTGGGAACATCACTGGGACCCAGACTGGGAATATCACTGGGATCCAGACTGGGAGCACCCATGGGATCCAAACAGGGAACATCACTGGAACCCAGACTGGGAGCACCGGTGGGATCCAGACTGGGAACACCCATGGGACCCAGACTGGGAGCAGCCATGGGACCCAGACTGGGAGCCACAGCCCAGCACGGGCTCTCCAGGCAGCAGAGACACAGGAGAAATGTCCCACTGGAATCTTCCTGAGTCTTGCTGTGTCCAAACACACCCTGCTCATGGCAATTCCCTTCCCACGCCCATTCCCAAAGGATGTGTCCATCTCCAGGTGCCACAGCTCCAGGGGGATCCAGCTCAGGATGGGGAACCAGCATGACACAGAATCCTCCTGCAGCCTCTTCATGCCCATCTTCCATGGGAGGGTGGGACAGGTTTGGGATTCCAGGCGATCCACGCCCGAGCCCTGACCACGCTGTCCCTGTCCCCCGCGTCCCTGCGTGACGTCTGCGCCCGCTTCAATCAGATCTGCGCCGAATCCCAGCGTTTCCTTGGCAACATCATGGAATCCGAGGAGCAAAAGCCACCCGGCAGGGCCAGGCTGGGGGACAGCCAGCGCCCGCCGAGCCCAACTGGCCACCAGAGCCACCAGAGCCACCAGAGCCACGGGGACACTGCGGCAAGCAGCGACGCTCCAACCCGTCCTGGAGGTAACCCAGGGCAGAGCGTGGATAATCTGCTCTGGTGGCACCTCGGTGCTGGTTGGGGACAGAGCAGGACCTTGCTGGCACCACGGGCAGAGGGACCTGTGGGGCCGTGTGACCCCCAAAAAGTGGGGCAGCTCCACGGGGATGCCAGACAGCTGGGATGGGTTTGGAACGGGATGGCCCCACTCAGGTGTCATCCTGGTGGCACCGAGGGCTGGCAGGGCCGTGCCAGGCCCGGGGCTGATCTCCCTGGCACAGAGGGAAGGTGCAGAGGAGCTTTTCCCGTTCCGGCTGCAGCTCTGCAATGCAGCTCGCACAGCTCGGCTGCTGTGCGTGAATCCCATCAATATTTCATGGAGCTGCTTCCTCCAGGGGAAGGGCTGCTCTCAGCTCCGGATTTCTGCTGCTCTACCAGCAGGGAACAGCTGATTTCCCTCCAGCAGCACCCAGCAGATCGGCCTGGTCCTCTCCATTCCACCTTGGCAAATATCCCTGTGCCTTCCAGGAGCTCCAGAGCCTGGAATCCCTCAGGTTTCACCCTTGGCACCTGCCTGGGATGGGCACCAGCTCCAGGATGGGTCACCGAACCCAGCCACGTCCCCAAATCCGCATCCAGCAGTGGGGATGTGCCAACAGCCAGGCTGGATCCGACATTCCCTGCCCAGCCTCATCCATCCCGCAGATCCCAGCTGGCTCCCGAGCCCAGCAGGAGCCAGGGGTGAGCAGCTTTGTTTGCAGAAAAAGTTGCTTTTTTAACTGCTAAGGCTGCACAATTATTGCCGAGCTTCTTCAGGGATCAGCAGAAAACTTGGGAAGAGTTCTGGGAGCCGGAGCGATGCCAGGAGGGGGCAGAGCCTGCGGCAAACACCCCTGGCACGGGGAATGGATGGGGGGATGACAAGAGGGATGGTTTGGGAATGGTCAGGGAATGAAACACCCCTCACACGGGGAGTGGGGCGGCTCTCCTGGGGTGGCAGTGGCTCCTGCGTCCCCAGAAGAGCAGCAGGATGGGATGAGGGAAGATCCCAGCCAGGTGCTGCTCCCCAGAGAACTTGTGAGAAGATGAGGCCAAAAACTCTGGTGTTGCTCCACCAGCCAACAACTCAAATCTGCACAATTCCCAATTTTTGAGGTGAAACGTCCATCCCCGGGAGTCTTTTTGTCTGTGGGAAGGATGAGGAGCCTGGAGAGGCTCCCAGCAGAGCACCACAGGGTGAGGAAGGAGCTCCTGATCCCGGCAGGCAGCGGGAGGAGCGGGGCTGTCAATCCCTTCCCAATAATTCCTAAGCGAGCCTCTCTCCCTGCTCGTGGAGATGCGGTGACAAAACATTTGAAGCGCCTTGACAGGAACGCCAAGAGCTGCTGTCACACAGCTCCAGTTTTAATCAGCAGGAAAATTAGGGATTTTCATCACCTTCAAATGCATTTTGTATCCGTGTGAGGCTTCCCAAAGGGCTGTGCTGCAGCGGGAGCCCACGGAGAGCTGAGCCCCAGGGACGGCAGCAGCTCGGGGGGATGGAAGGGGGGATTCACCCCCGGATTTGGGGCCAAGCTGCCGCAATGTCACCCTCAGTCCCTGTCCCACAAAGGCTGGAACGGGGACAACGCCAGAGGCTGGGAGTGTGGGAGGTGGCAGGAGTTTGGCCTCACGAAGGGATGTCGGGGATGGAGCAGAGGGAGAGAGGTGAGAGCGCAGAGGGAGCGGCCCGGGGAGGTGTCGGGCAGGAAAAAACAGCACAGGGAGAAATGGGGCTGGAGGGGAGAGCTGGGAGCAGGCAGGGATGGTTTGGGGAATGAAAACAGAAATGGTTTGGGAATGGTCAGGGTGATCAGGCAGGGATGGTTTGGGGAATGAAAACAGAAATGGTTTGGGAATGGTCAGGGTGATCAGGCAGGGATGGTTTGGGAATGGCTGGGGGATCAGGCAGGGATGGTTTGGGAATGGCTGGGGGATCAGGCAGGAAGGGTTTGGGAATGAAAACAGAAATGGTTTGGAAATGGCTGGGGGATGAAACCAGGGATGGTTTGGGAATGAAAAGAGGGATGGTTTGGGAGCAGCCAGGGGACAAAAACAGGGATGGTTTGGGAATGGGCGGGGAATGAAATCAGGGATGGTTTAGGAATGGTCAGGGTGATCAGGCAGGAAGGGCTTGGGGAATGAAAACAGGGATGGTTTGGGAATGTTTGGGGGATCAGGCAGGGATGGTTTGGGAATGAAAACAGATGGTTTGGGAATGGTCAAGGTGATCAGGCAGGGATGGTTTGGGGAATGAAAACAGAAATGGTTTGGAAATGGCTGGGGGATGAAAACAGGGATGGTTTGGGAATGAAAACAGGGATGGTTTGGGAGCAGCCAGGGGACAAAAACAGGGATGGTTTGGGAATGGCCGGGGAATGAAATCAGGGATGGTTTAGGAATGGTCAGGGGATGAAACCAGTGATGGTTTGGAAGAAGTCAGGCAGGGATGGTCTGGGAGCAACCAGGGGATCAGGCAGGGATGGTCTGGGAGCAACCAGGGGATCAGGCAGGGATGGTTTGGGAATGGCCAGGGGATGAAAAGAGGGATGGGTTGGGAATGGTCAGGGGAAGAAACGAGGGATGGTTTGGGAATGGTCAGGGAATTAAACCAGGACTAGTTTGGTAATGGTCAGGGGATGAAAAGAGGGATGGTTTGGGAATGGCTGGGGGATGAAACCAGAGACAGTTTGGGAAGAGCCAGGGCATGAAATGGGGGATGGTTTGGAAGCAGCCAGGGGATGCAGCCAGGGATGGTTTGGGAATGGTCAGGGGGATCAGGCAGGGATGGTTTGGGAATGGCTGGGGGATCAGGCAGGGATGGTTTGGGAGCAGCAAAGGCTGGTTTGGGCAGGTGCTCCCTTGTCCTGTGGTGGAAGAACAGCCCCAGGCTCCCGTGCCTGGCAGCAAAGCCCATCCCGAGCTCCCGGCGGCTCCGCAGCCTCCCACTCCCAGCTCCCAATGGAAACGAGCGGCGCAGCCCCGGGGTGTTCCCTGGGCACCCAGCGGTGGGGTTCAGCCTTGGAAGCCCCTTTCCCGTGGGTGCCATATCCCTGAGGGTGGGCAGTGCCTGCCACAGAGCCCCCCAGACCCCTGAGGGTGGGCAGTGCCCGCCACAGAGCCCCCCAGACCCCTGAGCCCACCCCACAGAGCCCCTCACAGCCACCACCTCCCGTGGGGGGCACCCTCAAGAGCAGCTCCCACGCAGGGGCCCTGGGGACCATTTCGGGCCACCGAGGGGACCCTGTGGCCAGCCAGGCCTGAGCCCCCCGGGGTGCCAGGGTGATGCCCACGGGCTGTCCCCACTCGTTGTCCCTCTGGTTGTGGCACGAGGGAGCAGCACAGGAGCTCTGCCCATCCCAGGGCACCGTCTCGCTCTTCCCCACCCCTTCCTTAACAATTTCCCCACCAGAACCGACCCCAGCACCTTTTCCAAACCCCACGGAGGCTCCGCATCGAGGAAGAGACAAATCCACGCACAAATCCCAGGCTGGAGCCGCCGGGAATCGCGGGACGAGCTGAGCCCGGTGCGGTGCCCGGGGACAGACCCTCCCCAGCACCTTCCCCGCTTTTCCCGGTCCCTATCCCGCTTTTCCCGGTCCCTATCCCGGTTTTCCCGGCGCTGGGACCGGCGTGCACGGGACGGGCTTGACGTCAACGGGCTTTCAGCGGGATGATGGATGGCACGGGAAGGCGCTCCCGGTGCCCAGCGCCGGCCGGGAAGCGCTGCCCGCCCCGCACCGGGAAAGGCTCCGGGGAACCGGCCCGGGGACCCCTGCGGAACGGGGGCAGCGCGGCCGCAGCGATGATTTTGGGGTGTTCGCATCCCGGCTCAGAGCTGGGTGATGATTTAGGGGTGCCGGCAGCTGTGAGGCACATGGGGGACCCCCGGCGTTGTCCCCACGGGGGTGGAGACCCCTCCTCTCGCTCCATCCCTCCTCCCGGGGCTCCCGG